ACAGCTTTGCTGCCTTGTTAAAAATACCATGCAGTATGTACATGTACCATAAGATATAAAAATTAAGGATAATTACATAGTATTTAAATAAATTAAAAGAATAAAATTATAACCATCAACCGTTACTTTTAGCTGACTTTCTCACGTTGCTTTCAGTCAGCACATTTCACATAAATTCAACAATCATTCACCAGTGACGAAGACTAAAAATATAGAAGTCAATTCTTGCCCAATATGGACCCTTTAAAGTGTTTTTAAAAAACTTAACGATGATGTTTTATTTGATCACATGATATTGTAAAAATTGATTTCTTGTGTTGTTATCAAATCAGCAATTTTTTAATGTAAAAATTTTCTAGCACATTGCTGAAGTTCACGAGACCAGCCCCCATGTTTGGTTTAGCACTGCGAGTAGTGACATCTATAGGTCGTGCCAGTAAAGGGGAATCCCCGAGACGGAATTGCGGGCGTAAAACAGCTCGATTTGACAGGCTTAAACCTTGCTAACGAAAACATATCGACATACTTGATTGCCAACGAAGGAGATCAAAGTCGATAAATCAAAGGGTAAGTCACATGCGGAGTAACTGGGGATCATTCCGTTAATCAAGCCAAGGACAGAATCTATATTTTGGGTCCTAGATCAAGCCGAGAGAACGCCAGATATGAAACTACTTTCGGTTTCGATTGGGTTGTAAAACTTCTAATGGGAGACGTTCTTTACTTATTGTTGTCATCCACATGGTCTGGTATTATGATATTTTATGAACTTTGGTGTCATCAAGCTGACATATAAACCCAAGTTAAACCGTTTGAACTGTTAATTTCTCTCCCAATGCCGGGATACATGCACATTGGCATCGCGTGACAAGGGTATCGCGTGGCAGCAAGACTCTTAGAGCATCAACTCGCTTCCATGGTGTGTAGAAAAATAACATTCAATAAAATAACTATATGTGTGCACTAACATATCTGCTCTAATAAGATGTTTATAGCATGTAGAAGGATGAAATTACCTGTAAAAACTTTCAATTTTTCCCAATGCTCCTCTACAGTACTGTATGAAGGTGCATCTCGCCCTCTGAGCCCTCTTTTATTTATTTATTTTGAGAAGGCGATTTAAGAGCAGAAAAGCAACAGCGTTAATTAAATTTTTCATGGAGTTAGTTGTCATTTTCGCCAACTCACCAAGCCATTACTGAATGTAGATTTTTATTTGAAAAAAAAAAAAAAGATACGGTTGGAAAAATCCCATTTCCTCAAAATAAGGGTTTGTCACGCTTGTTATCCAAGACTGCATTCCCACAGATTTTAGATCGATCTATCCCCGTGGGGAGTCTCACTAGATTGGTGTCAGCTTAACCGGCTTAAATGTCTGTCCCGCCTACTAAAAGCTGTAAGGGGGTAATTAACTATAGTGCGCGCTCGGCTGACAGCAATTTAGCATGAACCCCCAGGGAGTTAGGTCGATCCAGATGGATCGATCTAAATATGTGGGAATACAGTCCAAGTTATTCATTTTGCCTGGTCTAAAAGAACAAAATTTTATTTCAGAATTGTATCCTGATATATACTGCATGCACACTACAATGAGGTATGCCTCCGAAGAAAAAGAGAGGGGCTAAAAGCCAAGGAAAATCGCATAATGAACAGACACTGGCAAATTTTTCTTCAGATGAGGACGAAAATACCGACCACGACACCTTACAGAGAAAAGCGCCTGGACGTATTCTTAAATTTGGATCATATTTTGTATCCTCAGCTACAATCTTTGTCGGCTATATAGGTATTCCACTCACAGCCATATACACAAAATTGTTAGCTCTACAACGTTTTGAGCGTGACATGTGTTTAAATATTTGGAGAAGAATAACAGGTCCATGTGGGAAACGAAACCAGGCGGCTTCACAAAATTCCAGTCAACCGTGTCTATCTCCACCAGTGAGTTCTGGTAGAGGCAAAACACCAGCAAAGAGTTCCTCTTATTCACGGCGGCAAGACAAAGGGAGAAAAAAGCAGAAATCTCCACCTCTCGATCAGTCAGGTCCACCAGGGAGCGAACATCATACGCCTTCTAAGAATAACTTTCTACCATCGCCACGAGGAGGGTCTCGGCACAAAGAGTCAGGAGCGTTTGCAAGAGGCCCGACATACGATCTTGACAACAAATATGAAACAGTCGGCCGCCAGCAAGAGAAAACGTTAACAGTACCTGAGATCGACCTTGATTACATGAGAAAAACTTTCCCGGGAGAGATTACCAAAATCGAAAACGACTGGGGTGTCAAATTCGTTGTCATCGATGGACAACTTTTTGCACAGACGACTGAAACTGAGGAAGCAGCAGTAAAATATCACCGGAAGAATGAAGCACTAGAGGATTTTACGACCTTATTTCAAAAAGAAATGTACATGACAAATATCAGGCATGCCACGTTAAAAGATAAAAGCGGACGCCTATCCTTTAGGATATCCAAAAAGTACAAGCGTGTCTGTGTTCGGCCGACCAAAAATAGCAGTGAAGTAGAAGTTGTGGGCCCGGAAGATCAGGTATGCGAAGTTGAGAGGGAATTTGGAGATTCTGACCGTCAAGTGGATCGTCAGGGTCCGTCCGTTCGAGAAGTTGAACCACATTCAGTCGAACTATCTTCAATTTCGTCTAGAGATTCAACTGGAAGACAAGAAGCATTCCATTACACTTTTCCCACTGGCACAAAAATGACGATCAAAGTTGCGGATATTACCAAGGAAAACACAGATGCCATTGTCAATGCAGCAAATGAGCACCTTCGTCACAGAGGAGGCGTGGCTGCGGCTATCTCGCGAGCGGCAGGGCGAAGTTTTCAAAAAGACTCGGAAGATGCCATTCGCCAGCACGGTCCCATACCTCTTGGTGGAGTGGTAACAACACGTGCTGGAGATCTTCCCTGCAGTTACGTTATTCACGTGGTCGGGCCGACCGTAAAGACCCCTAACTACCAGCTGGAGCTCCAAAGTGCAGTGGGAAATGTGCTAGATGAGTGCCGCCTCCTGGAAGTTTCAACTGTTGCAATGCCTGCTATCAGCACAGGTTAGCATACTGTGATACTATACTACGTATATTTCTAGGTGCACAGGACAAATTAATTGTCGCGCAATACTCCATTTTAAGTACTTAAATCGTGTCTTCCCCTCAATGCCTAATATCAGTTTCGCCTTTTTAGTCACTCTAGCCGCTGTATCAAAATGTGTTTTATTTTTTCCCCTAAATTTCAGTTATTTTTTAGCTTTGGCTTAGATTGAATAAACTAAAAATATTATATGTGAAATTGAAAAATTACCTAAGATGAATAAATGGTAACCTGGAATATTTAGATAATGGGACCTTAATTTGTAATAGTTTAAAAAAACTTATCATGTTTAGTTATTATCACATTTATTTATTTATCTATTTATTTATTTATTTATTTATTTTATTTATTTACTTATTTTGTTTTTCCAGGGATATTTGGAGTCCCAAAACATGAGGGCGCACTGTCTATGGTGCGGGCAATACAGGACAAACTTCGTAAAAAATCACTCACCCTCAGAGAAATCAGAGTAGTTGACAAAGATTATAGGACAATCGACACTTTTGCTGAAGTGTTCAGGAGAGAGTTACAAAGCATGGATGACTACTTACTGGACCACGAGGAAAACTATGCAAGTTTTCTTGAAGAGAGAAGGTCCAAAAAGCATTCAGATTCGGGTGCGCCCGTGGGCAGTGTGGTGACCAATGTCTNTAAGTGTCCGATCTGTGGAGATCTGCTGGGGGAGCAGCGAGGGAACCAACCCAACGGGTATATAGACTTTAGCTACGACCACGAGTCTTTGCCAGGCTACGAGGGCTACAAGACAATCGTTATCAACATTAAATTCCCCGACGGGATTCAACAGGTACTCATAGTAAAGCGGTTCAATGCGACAATAATATTCCGACGGCGCTTTTGCTGGTGGCTACCAGATGATAATGCTGTAGAGTGTAGACATAATGGATACGTTACAAACAAAGCGCAGCAATGCTGTCTTGAGTTGCAATTATTATTATTATTTTCTAGGAGGACCACCCCCATCCAGGTTATCCATACAAAGGCACCAGGCGTACGGCTTTCTTACCTGATACCGCTGAGGGCCGTGAAGTCAAAGAGCTTTTAAGGAGGGCATTCGCCGCCAAACTCCTGTTCACTGTGGGCCGGTCTGTCACCACTGGGAAAGACGACACCGTGGTATGGAATGATGTACACTTTAAGACGAATCGTACTGGAGGACCACAGAGGTTTGTTCATATTTGTAGTTGAACTTTTTTGATAATTCCCAGTTTACACCAAGAGTCTGAGTCTTTTTTAAATTTTATTTACATGAACTTAATCCTACCATTTAGACAGGCCATTAAAACTTGGACCCCTCAGAAATGATCAACTGTCTGAAATGAATGGCAATCTTCCAGGGATTACTTTAGTTTCTCTAACTCGTAGATCGCCGTGTCTTATTGTATATTGTATTAATTTTACTATGTTTTCTATTTAGGTATGGTTATCCAGACCCAACTTATTTGTCAAGGGTAAAAGAAGAACTGGCTGCTAAGGGGATAAAGTAACGGAAGAATCCAAAGTACGCATCTTTAGAGCAAAAATATATCTTAATGAAATTCCGTAATTGACTGAAACTGGCCTTGCACGAAATGGATATAAACAGTGGTTCATGTATTATTATGTGTGTGATTAATTCTTTCAAACAGAGCCTTTTAGTAGACCTATTTTAATTTCAGCAAGTGGATTTTTGTATCTTGAAATTACAGTTTTAACAAAAGTTGAGAGGACATATTTGGGCTGTTGAGAAGCTTCGACAGAGTTCTAGGGTTTTTCTTGATTTTGATTATTTATTGTTGTTGACGTAATTAAAATTGGATAAAATATTTACCCCTTCCCAACTCCATAAGTTGCTCCTGAATTTGCATCCTTCTGTGTTCAATAAATGGCATAGTCAGTATTTCTTCCCGTTTGAAAATACAGCAGTTTTAACTGACAACCGATTAAATATGTCACATAAAAACGTATTAACTAAAAACCTGTGAAATAGATGATTATAAGCAAATTGAGATCTAAAATTAGGATGGAAACTGTGTACATGAGAGTTATACTGCGTAAGTTTTGGTACATGTACAAATCAATCAAATTATTTTTAAGTTACGAAATATAATTTTATCTGCCAAGATAAGTGTCCAGATTGAAATAGACCAATGTAAACTGCTACGAAGCACTGCAACCAATAATTTTATTAGGTACATTTTGTTAATTGTGATGCGTCGTATTTATCAATTATAGTCTGGATGACTGGTGCTATATTTTGGCCAAATTGCTCAAAATGTGGAAAAAGCATGAAACTTGGCACAAATGTTCTTTAGTCTATGCTGATCATTTTCAAGGGCAGTGCCCAAAATTTCAAGGCGTTGCTTAGCAACTGTTGCTATGGAAGTGAATTTCCTTAGTAACAAGCTAATTAGACCTTTTTTGTCAAGTTAATATGGTTTAGAAATGCTAATAACTATGTTTCAGGGCATCAGAACTATCACTAGACTATTTTAAGGCAATTAAAACCCAAATTAACCTTAGCCATTATTGCTAGGCAGCATATTACCCTAGCAACAAGCATTTAAAGTCGCATTAGTCTATTAAGTAAGGCAAATCTATAATGCTAGCTAAGAACTACACTTTTGAGCAAGATGTTCATACTTTTAATCGAGTAAGTTGAAACAATTGTGTAATGTTTACACACATCCGATCAAAAACATTATTGCCAGTGCAGATACTTAAGGCAGCATGTTCAAAGTTAGTAACCAGCCATTTCCATGCTTTTATCACCTTACGACTCTTTATAAAACTTCAATAGTTAAGACGTTAAATTCTCCCAGTGCATTTTGCCCGTGTACATTGTCAGCCTCTACATCTGCACCTACATGCACACTGGAGCAACTCTGGGCAGGTCAATAGCTTCTGGCAAATGTGTCCACAAGGGTCCACTGCTGCCTTAAGTATCTGCACTGGCAATAATGTTTTTGATCGGATGTGTGTAAACATTACACAATTGTTTCAACTTACTCGATTAAAAGTATGAACATCTTGCTCAAAAGTGTAGTTCTTAGCTAGCATTATAGATTTGCCTTACTTAATAGACTAATGCGACTTTAAATGCTTGTTGCTAGGGTAATATGCTGCCTAGCAACTGTTGCAATGGTTTACTTGGGTTACTTGGGTTTTTAATATCTTAGAATAGTATAGTGATAGTTCTGATGGCTTGAAACATTATTAAAAGCCTTTTTAAATCATTTAAACTGAACAAGAAAGGTCCAATTAGTTTGTTACTAAGGTAAATCACTTCCTTAGCAACGGTTGCTAAGCAACGCTTTGAAATTTTGGGCACTACCCTTGAAAATGATCAGCATAGTCCAAAGAACATTTGTGCCAAGTTTCATGCTTTTTCCACCTTTTGAGCAATTTTTACACCAGTCATCTAGACTATAATGAAAATGTGATTTTTCATAGATGTTAATTTATCATGTGAAATAGTGAAATACTGATCAATAGAGAAAGTAACAAATAAAACAAATCTCTTCAATCTCTTCAACATCTTTTTTGTTTGTTTGTTTTGTATGACGGGTATGTGAGAGAGAGAGAAAGAGAGAGAGAGAGAATGAGAGAAAAGGGGGGGGGCTTTCAAGAGAAATAAAACTGCAGCAAGGTGAGCGAGACACCGCATGACTGAGGCCTCGTCCCGTGACATTTTATTTCAAAGCCCCTCTCTGCTTCCCGCACTTAGGACTGATTTGAGAGGTGGAGGGAAGGATTTGTTTAAAATTTTCTATGACTGAACATTTTTCCAAACACATCCTTCCACTGTCTTCAGTATTGCTGAAAGGAGAGGTTAGTGTCAAGACAAGTGTCAAGAGGACGGGAGGGAGGAAATAATAGTCGGTCTTCAATAACGATGCGCGCGTTATACGTCACAGGTCTTGTGTAACTACCCACGTGCTACGATTTTTCCCTTGGGGGGGGGGGGGGGNAGGACCCGTTCTGACACCATTGCAGACGGTACATGGGCCGTCTGCACATCTTCAACTGCTGGACCTAGACACAAACATTCCCAGGGTAACGACAATGCAGCCATCACAAGACAGCCTCCCATCTCCCCAGGTTCCTTCCACCGCCCCTGCCACCGCCGGCCCAGATCCCACAGCCATTACCGCTGGTAACTTGACATCTGGCCACCAGGCTCCCAACGCTCATGCAGCTTCACTTTCATCCCAACTCTTGAACACAACCTCTAACAGCCAACCCATCCTCTTCCACAGTCAGCAGGCATCACAGCCGGGTCAAATTCACGCACAGGACAGATTACCGATATCCCCTCAAACCCCTCTGGACAGCCATGTTTCTGCCTCCCTACGCGCAAAAATTTGGAATGATGAATACGTATCTTTTCGTGACTTACTATCGCCACATTCAAATGCCTTTTCTTCATGTGATCAAACAGAGGAGGAGCAGTTTATTCAAAAAAGAAAAACGGACGCAGAGGGAAACATGGCTATTATCTACTCACCAGTTTCTAAGAAAAGTACACAATTATCTTTTGCCCAATGGCAGTCGGCCTACAATACATTCTGTATTATATACCTTCAAAAGCACCCAGAAGAGGCTGGCAACCTCCTCCAATATGGAAACAGAATACTGGAAATGTACCTCGGAAAATTTGGTTACTGGCGGACATACGATGAGCGCTTTAGGGCCAACTTTAAGGCCATGAATTACAAGTGGCAAGCACCTGATGCCATTCTACTGGCAGACCTAAGCTTTGTACAACGACCCCAGATACAACCTCAACGCACAGCCTCTTGTTTTCGTTGGAACAGGGGGATCTATTGCGACAACAAATCCTGCCAGTACTCCCACAGATGTTCCCTATGTCGGGGCCAACACCCATCATCAGTGTGCTCACAAGCTTCCCACACTTATTACCAGCCACAACAGCAAAGAGTTAGACAACAACGCCCACAACCTTTCAACAGAAGAGGTGCCTTCAACAGACGCCGCTAAGGCCCCCATCCTATCAGCAATCACATTAAATAAGTCAGCATCGTCAAGGTACCGAGACATTGTATCACCCATCAGCCCCCTGGCTTTAGCCCAAATTCTACAACACTATACACCACGTATTAAACTATATTTAGTCAATGGATTTACCCACGGCTTCCAAATTCCCTTTGAAGGTCCCCTACCTCAATCATCAAAAACCAACCTGAAATCAGCAGCTGAGTGGCCCGAAGCAGTACGAACAAAAATCGCAGGGGAACTACAAAACAGTCGAATAGAGGGGCCATTTGAAATCTCACCATATCCAATCTTTATACTATCACCGGTGGGAGTTGTGCCTAAAAAGACACCTGGAAAATTCAGATTCATACATCACTTGTCACACCCGGTCAGGGCCTCAGTCAACGATGGTATCGGTGACAAGTATTCCTCAGTGCAATACAGCACTGTTACTCATGCCATATCAATTCTTAAGACTTTAGGCCCGGGAGCCCATATGGCCAAAACGGACATTGAGAATGCTTTCAGACTGGTCCCAATTCATCCAGACTTTCGCTTCTTATTGGGCTTCTCATTTGAATCGCAGCTTTACTTCGATAAAACTCTTCCCATGGGTTTATCCTGTTCTTGCCAAATCTTTGAAACATTCAGCACTGCAATTCAATGGGCAGCTCATAAAAACTGCAAGATACAGCACATGTTACACTTACTGGATGACTTCTTTATTGCAGCTCCTTCTTACACTGATTGTGCCAACGACTTAACCAAATTCTTGGCTATGTGCAAAAGCATTGGTATTCCTATGTCCAAAGAAAAAACAACACAACCAGCGACTACAATGTCTTTTGCAGGCATTGAACTGGACTCATTACGGCAGGAAGCCCGACTACCGCAAGACAAAATTGACAATTGCCTATCCCTCATTACAGCTCACTGTAGCAAAAAGAAAACGACCCTCAAGGAGCTACAGTCCATCATCGGCACACTTAATTTTTGCTGTTTAATTATCCCTGGAGGAAGGGCTTTTCTACGTAGGCTCATTGACTTAACACGAGGAATTTCACAAGCTCATTTCCGCATTAGGCTTAACAATCAAGTCCGCCAAGACCTGGTCATGTGGCAGGACTTTTTAACCACCTTCAATTGTAAAGCTTTCTTCCATGATGAGGGTTGGAATGGACTCCATGCCACAACTATTTACACAGATGCCTCCACTTCCATAGGTTTTGGCTCTATAAGCGAACGACGCTGGTTCTACGGCACTTGGCCCCCATCTATTAACCATATAAATATAGCGGTGCTTGAGATGTACCCCATTGTAGCTTCTGTCCTCATATGGTGCAATTCACTAGCAAACAGAAAAGTGACCATCTTCTCAGACAACGAGGCTCTAGTACACGTTATCAACAAATGCACATCTAAGGACCCCCAAATCCTTCACCTTTTACGTCGCTTAGTCCTAACATGTCTTAAAAACAATATTATCTTCAGGGCTATTCACATAGCTGGTCAAGAAAATGAATCTGCTGATGCATTGTCTCGTTTAAACTTGCAGAAATTCCACTCAATCAACCCCAGTGTACTGCCACATCCGGAAAAAATACCAACCCAATGGCTACCAGAGGCCTTGATCATGACATGAAGAGATCGTTACAAGCGGCCCTGGCACCGAGTACAAGACGTACCTACGACAGGGTGGACAGTTTGCTTCAACAATTCACTCTGGAAACTGGACTTACAGCATACCCGGCCGACAACAAAACTACGGCCTTGTTTGTACAACATCTATCTCGACGCTACAAACCATCTTCTGTAAAAACTTTCCTCTCCGCTCTTAGTTATAGGTACAAATTGATGGGGTATATGGACCCCACACACTCATTTTTGGTACGCCAGGTGATGAAAGGTATCTCCCGCTTACAACCAACAGTCGACACTAGACGTCCAATCACCTTACCACTGTTGGAAATGCTGCTACGATCTCTCACTCACCCACTCACCCCGTACCAAATATTATTATTCAAAGCAATGTTCACCACAGCATTTTTTGGTCTTCTCAGGATAAGTGAATTCACTTCAGGCCCAGGGGCGCCTAATCACGCTCTTTGCCTTACGGATGTTACACCAATACCATCCAAGGACCAAATCATCCTTAAGCTCAGGACTTTCAAACATTCATCACCTTCCTCCAACCACTCTGTGGCCTTAAACAAACAGCCAATGGACATCTGCCCAGTCACACATCTCAAACACTATATGCGAGTTAGGAAACCAGGCACAAACCAGCACCTTTTTGTCAACGAAAATGACTCATCGGTTTCTCGTTGCCAGTTCATAGCCATCCTCAATAAATGCCTAGCTGCTTCTGGAATATCAAACACCAACATCAAATCCCACAGCTTTCGGATTGGGGGTGCCACCTACGCTGCCCAACAGGGCTTATCATCACAACAAATACGCCTGTTAGGACGTTGGAAATCGGATGCATTTCTCTCTTACATTCGTTTGCAGTGATTACCCGCACTTTGACAATAAGGACTTAGATGAACTCGATGCACGAAAGGTTTATTCATGGAACGTGCACTACACTATATATGTTCATGCCAAGCCAACATAGTGACACTGACTATTCTCTCTCAAGTAGTCACGTTAAGTAGATTTTTCATTAGGATGCGCATGTATTATCATTAAATTAGCAGCAAAACGGATGCATTTCTCTCTTACATTCGATTGCAGTGATTATCCACACCGTGCCAATAAGGACTAAGATGAACATGATGCACAAATGGTTTTTTCATGGATATAGCGTTACTCTATATAACAAACTGTTCATGCAAAGGCAAAATATTGAGACCTATTATTCTCTTTCAAGTAGTCACGCTACGTAGATTTTTCATTAGATTGTTCGTTAATTCATCATAAAAATAGAGGGTTATGTGTCTCTCCTGTTAATAAAGTTTATATTACCTACAACCGTCTCGTAAAATTATTTGGGTGGGGAGAAGACTGAGGCTTAACATTTTTCAGTCTTCTTTGGCGAGTAACAATTATGACAATTTATGGTGAGCTTTGAATTCCAATGATAAAACCTGTCATAGATCTGGAAATCAAATAGTACTACCTGTAAAGATTTCCAGGTATTTTACTTACCAAAAGCTTTAACAACTCCCTTCACAACGCAGTTTAAGACGCAGCTGTCGTGACTTGCAAGTTAACAGATAAAAAACCCCGGATGGGGGACACAATGGGCTTACTAGAATCTATTTTCATTGAGCATCATTGGAGCAAGTACAAAGAAATAGAATAAAGCCAACCTCTGAACTATATCCGCAGAAAATAGGAAAGCTCCGTCTATTCGTTGAAAATAAATAAGATTTGGGGGGTTAAGTGTAAGACTGAACATTTACACACAAAAAATGACGTCGACTTATCTGACCTTGTAGAAATATAAAAATTTTCAGCTCGTCATGTACGAATGTGTTCAACGCCTCACTGCACTCAAAGCAGTACTTAACTCCAGCAAGGAGTTATAACTCCTTGGCTCCAGTAATTCGTGAATCTTTCAAACATAAAACATATCGAGTCGACTAGTTTTTAAATTCAAAATTTAATTTAATAAACTGTAACTACCCATACTTCATACCATGTTTTTTTTTCAAATTGTTATTCACAATCTCTTTTATATGCAGTGAATAACTGCAAGTAAGTATTATTTTTACCAACAGAATTTCAAAATGAAAATTTAAAATCTACGTTTTCAGAGTAATGTTCTGTCATTTTAAACTATAACCATTTTTTAAAATTTTGGTAGGCACGCGAAGTGTCACGGTATCACTATTTTCACATCGTGATAAGGAGGGGCGGGGAAGAGAGAAAGCTTTTTGGTCTTTTTGTTTTCTGGTCATTCTTTTATTGAAAACTCTCTGAAATTACACCAGGCATGCCAATCACAGAACAAGTTTAATGTCTATTTAGAAATACTTAGCGCACGTGTATGTGCGGTATTCTCATTGCAATATCAGGCTCGAAGCTTGTGAGGGGAGTTCTGACCGATCCGACCTTTTTGCCTGGAGAAAGTCCGGTTTGTGTAAGTGTGATCTAGGTCAGGTCCGTAGCCAGCAATTTCAAAAGGGGGTTTCTTTTTCACAAAATGTGAACCTTTTTCAATGAAACCTTTGTGTGCCTACAAAAAAAGACCACCCCTCACATTTCTGACCACAGAACATGCAAATGCATGCATCAATTGTTTCGAGAGTTGTGTGGTAATTATGTAACACATCTGGCTACACATGGAGTGACACCTCAGCTTTGGATTCTAAGAGAGAAATTAAATATTTTGTAGAAAATTTATTCGCAAAAAAGTAATATTCCATATTAAGTGGTAACCCTGTAGATCAAACTTTACCCAGGATAGTTCCCTTCCTGACAAAAGGGCTGTTCTTTCGAACCCCTTGAACTTCCCTGGCGTGCGGGTACATCGAGTTTTTATTTGTTTATTTATTTAATTTATATTATTTTATCTTATTTTATTTATTTATTTGGCAAAAGATTCGATTTTGGAATTGTTGGTTATTGGCCTGTGCGTAATCACTAAATGTACATGTAGAATTGTCTTCAAATCTCTAGATGGCCCCTCTTTCGCTATCGTATTAAAAAGCTTGCCCAGATACATGTTTATTAAAATGATCCGTCTAAGACACTTGTTCACCCTCACTCTCCATCGTCCAAGACATGTGCAAAGTGACAAGGGACCCTATATACTCTATACTGGGCCACTGATTTTTCACCTGAAATTCAAATATATACACCTTCTTCTTCTTACACCTTCACCTTCTTCTTCTTGACAATTTTTTTTTTATGTCCTGCATTAACATTTGCATGAAATTAATTTTTCTCCACTTTGCTTGCTTCAGGTATAGAGTAGGCCCTAAACATGTATGAGGAAAATATCGCAAGGGCAGTGTAGTAGCCAATCAGAGGCCGTGGTTTAAGCCACAAGCTCGACAGCTCGACGGCTCGTATTGTATCCAGGCCCGTAGCCAGGGTTGGGGGGTCGTGGGGTTCGAAAGAACCGCCCTATTTGCTGGAAAGGGTCCACTCTGGGTAAAATTTGATCTAGGTACATGAAGTTTTATGGAAAAAGATCCACTTTTTTTTAGAAAAAGGAACCCCCTTTTGAAATTGCTGGCTACGGTCCTGGTATCTATCACGACTTGGGTCTATTTTCACTTTTAAATGATTCTCTTTTATTATGATCAAAAGTGGGGACCATTTTGAAATCCTTGCAGTTTAAACTATATGACAGTTAGGCCCCTAATATTAATACGATTGACGAGCCTTGATTCTCAATGATAAAATTCCCATACCTCTAGATACCAAATAGTACTACCGGTAAAGATTCCCAGGTATGTTACTTTACATAATTTCCAACCACACCCTTCACTACACAGTTTTAGACGCAGCTGTCGCGACTTGCAGATAGAAAATAAGCTCGTATATTATTACCAAAAGTCAGTCAAAAGAAGCAAAACGATGTTCATTTTGTTCTACAAAAATTCTTATAATAGGCCTATACACACAATTCGTAAAGATAACCATTGTAAATATCAAGGTAAAACGACTGTAAACAGAGCAAATATGGCTGTATGCACATTATTTATTTCTTTGAGCTGCAATTATCATTGTAAACTCCCAAGACGATACATGCGCCGGAACGTTCATTTGGTCTTGGAAGCATGCATAGTGCTTTGATATTATAGAGGTATATTGATATCATATAGAGGTGTGTGTTCATAACTATAAAATCAACGTCCAACTGCGACAGTTTGCTTTTAACCTATCTATTATATTAAAATTTCACCTATAAGGCAATTAACAACATGTGACGCCACATACAATGGTGGCACACTGATTTTACAGGAGAGAGTAATGGCAAGAAAGCATCTTCTCACATCATTATATAGTTATTCAGTGCAAGGGCTCAACTGATATTTTAGTGAAACATTAATATATACAACCCCCCTGTACAGAACGAGAATCTGAATCTATTAAGCAAATATATTAAGCAAGTAGAGCATTTAAAACACACACACACACACACACCAGGCAAACACACTCAAACAGTTATGAAAAGTTATTTCACAAAAGAACACCACTTAAAGTTTCAATTTACAATAGTTCAACCTTAAGCGGTACTGTTTATATACATGCACCTACCAACATTCTCATAACAAATTAAATCGCAACAACGGTTCAATTTTAAACCTTTGAAGTATTTCTTAAAAATTCAATATACCTTTATGTCGGCCCTTTTTGCATATTTTTCTTGATCTGTAGCATAATGTTTACTTTTCACATTTCGTGTTTAAATTGTTGTCTCTTGATCTTGGAAGGCAAAGCACTTTACAGCTCCTCCATTCTCGACAACAACAACTTTTCCATCGGGGGTGAGGGCAACATCCTTTGGAAATTTCATCCCATTTTCTTTGGTAAGAAGAAACTTTTTAAACACACCGTCCGGAGAGAGTAGATGGAGGCGATTGTTTCTGTCATCAGCCAATATGATATCACCGTTTGCCAAGCAGCACATGCCCTTTGGTTCGTTCACCTGACCATCACCACAGCCTTTGTCTCCGTACGTGAACTTCAGCACACCGGATACGGGGTTGTAGGCGAGTACTTTGTGAGCACCGGGGTGTGACACGAGGATATCACCTGTAACACTGACTGCTACATATTTTATAACATCACCTTGTAGTGGATCAGGAAAACTATGGGCGACCTGCCCATCCTTGTCGTGGATGTATATTGCTTCCCTTCCAGCAATGACGTACTGGCCCTTGCTGTTCACTGACACTGCAAGTGGCTGTGAACTGTGGAAGCTAGATAGCAGTTTGCCTTCCCTGCTGAAGATCATCACCAAGTTGTCTGACTGCGACCGCGCCACAACGTTTCCATCTTGATCTAATGTAATGCCAGCGAGACTGCCTGCCTTTAACTCGGGGTTTGTTATAGTTGCGATCAAACACCTGTCAACGTCGTATACGTTGATCTTGTTCCTCTTCACAAAACACCACACACCAACACATAGGCGCCCTTCAGCATCTACAGCGACATGTGTTACTGATTCCGGAGGATCAGTATTTAGGTCTACGCAGAATGACCACAACAGTTCCTTATCCCTGGCATGTCGCACCTCACCCATACACTCACGAAGGACGGTTGACATATTGTTGACATGCTTGGTATCTAGGGTTAGGGTCTTGGTGGTTGGGATGGTCGGTAACCTCATTTCCGTCAATTCTCTGCCGCGCCTTAGGCAGTTTGCCATGGTCTGCAAGACTTCAGGGTCGGAACCGTGAATAATCAAGGCGTTGGTAAATTCCCTGAAGCTCCAAAAACATCCTTGGATCAATTCTAGTTCCTTTTCTATGGGGTCCAAAACTTCTTCAACCTGGTTCGTGGTTTCTTCAACTTCTTTACACATACGATCACCAGTGACTATGAGCAACGTAATGAGCTCTTTCTGTCGGTTGCGAATAGATCTCTTGAGCTCCTCGTTCTGACAATGTAAACCCGTCTTGAGTAGCTTCATGACTGAAAGAAGACTCGTTGCAATTGTCTCTTGCTGACCAATCTCTTCTTGGGCGGTGGCTAAGCGTTCTCTTCCACCTTTAGCAGCTGATGGTATGTATTTGCAATCGTGATCTGTGTGTTCAAGAGAAACGCATGTTCCACATATGAACTTTTCGCAGACAAAACAGAATACTTTGGCCGGAGTCTCGTTGTCATGGTTACACCGAATCTGTTGACGAGAGCGAAGTTCACTGGCGTATGCCTCATCATTGAGTTCTCCTAATGGGATGAGCTGGTGGTCACGACATCCACCGTGACGTCGGTGTTCTGCACTGCAGGCGTCACACATGTTGTCATCACACTTTAAGCATCTTTTTGTGGCATCTGCATCTACAGGGGGCTCTTTAAGGGCGCATGTCTCGCATTTGTCCTGCGTCTTCGCTTCGTCGACCTTGTTCACTACCTCAGCGAGGTTAGCAAGAAGACGACTATTCTCCAAATCCTCCGCCCCTTTTTCTGGCAGCTCGCATTCCCTCCTACAGATGGGGCATGGGAAACGGCGGTTACGGTCGAGTTTGACATTCACGTGGTCCTCAAGGCACCTCTTACAGAAACTGTGGACGCAAGGAAGTATTTTGGGTTCTTCATACCTTTCCTCACAAATTATGCATGTCAGAAAATCTTCTTCGAGGATTTTTGAAAGAGCCATTGTGTTTGATGTAGGCCTTCTGTAAACAGAGAATGAAATAAGGTTAATGGGGAGAGGGGTATGTAAAATTAATTATGGAGCTTGTAGAACAAGATCGTCAATTGACGTCTGTTAGCCGTTTTCATAGCGTTTTCCATTTTTAGCAACAGGGTTACAGAAAATTCGTTCTTTATCTTTGCAACTCAGACTTATACTTGTACCCGCTTGATGACATAAAATATTTTCAGTTTCGTATGATGCTTCTTTTTGTTACCCTCTACCAGATTATTTGTGTTCTTTTCTCTAAGTTAAGCAATGGCCATGAATTATCCAGTGAAAACTTTATCTGTGGCCCTGGTAAAGGGTAGCCTTTGTATCATTTATAATGTAGTTTAATAAGACCCTATTCCCAGAGATTAGATCGATCCAACTAGATCGACCTAACTCCCTGGGGGTTCACGCTAAATAGCTGTCAGCCGAGCGGGCACTAAAGTTAATTACCCCCTTACAGCTTTTAGTAGACGGGACGGACATTTAAGCCGGATTACCTGACAGTAATCTAGTGAGACTCCCCACGATAGATCAATCTAAAATCTATGGGAATGCGCCCTAAGTATTTTACTGAGGTGATTCTAACAAGGCACTAGCGTTACAGTGCTCTGGAGCTTTCATTATGCCTGTCACTCTCATTTAAAAATTTCAATATGACGACCTTTTTTGTAGAAATAAGACATTCGACATGCAGTGAACGGAATGCTGACTTGTCGATTAGCAAGTCTTCATTGAGGTTCAGTTTCAAATATATCGATGCTGAGCTATCTAATGACCCTCGCTGTAAACCAACATTATAGAATATATGGCAATTAAGTCGATATTATATAGAATTTTTTGACAACACATATATTTTTTCCTTTTTTATTAGTAATTATAAACTGGCATATTAAACTCACACTATTGTGTACGGATAATGTTATATATACGCATTCAGGTATTTTTATGTTTTTTTTATAATGGCATCTGAGAAAAAATACGAATAATCCACCCAATAAAATTCATTTAGTTGTCCATTTTATTCAGCATTATGTACTAGTTAATTCATTCATCAATATGTCTGTCATAAAACAACCGGTAGGTCATTAACAAATCATACCTTAAGTGGCAGATATAGGGGGGGTGCTGACCCCACCCCCTTCGGTTTCTGAAAAATATGTCACATCAATATTCCCTTCTTGAAATTAGAATTTTGACTGAATCATAGTTCTAAACCGTACCAAAGGACATCGTTTGCCCACCAAAACACCAAAAAAATAATAATAATCGGGGCTTTGGAGCGGGCCTCGAACCCCAAGCCGAGGGGGGCATGGTCGACTTTGCATCCGAGGTCTGTCGTTCCGGACCCCCCCTCCCCCCCCCCCAAAAAAA